AGAGAGAGAGAGAGAGAGACAGAGAGAGAGAGAGAGAGAGGAAGAAAGACATCACAAAACAGAAAGCTCACTAAAAAGTGAGCGTAGAGGAAGAGGAAGAGAGTTTGTGGAAAAAGGAATAAAATAAAGAAAATAGGACCCTCCACAGCCTTGTGGATGATCCTCCACCATCTTTAAGAAGATATTTTTAGAGAGAGAAGTAAATTCGTCACCACGATGAAGTCGTGGAGTCGCCTCTGCTTCCTCGGTGAGTTCAGACCAAACTGCCTCAGATGTTAAACTCTTGTTCACTTTTCAGAGCAAAATCTTACAGAATTATTTTTTGATTTATTGATATCGACTACATTTGTACGCTGATCTCCTGCGCTCACACAGACTCCAGGCTGGAGTTCAGATTGTTGAATCAGACGCTGCAGACGCCTCGTGGTTTCACTGCTCATGGTGTCGATTCAAGAAGTTCTTGTGAAATCTCTAATCTAGCTGCTCCCGCTGCCATCCGTTTAATTTACCAGCACTTTCAAGGCCTTGATTGAGTCTCAAATCTACTCTTGAATGTCCTTGAATGACTTTAAGGTTCATTCAAGGACTCGGGAACATAATGCAGGAAGTCATGTGGAGCACACCAATGCTTCGATACAAGGGCGAACTTAACACTAAGTGACTAAAAGTGAACTTTCAGGAAATTACAAAGCAAAACACAGTCAATTATTAATTTTAAACCATTTTCACATAATTAGTCTTTACTGTCACTTTGTCTTTATGTTCCCTGACTTTTCTCAACAGCACAGCCTCATTTAATCTGCCTAAAATGTGCAAAATAATGCAGGTATTATTGCCCAATTTATTGATCTTCCTTATTCAATATGAAACTAAGTACATCTGAATATATATATATATGTATATATATTTATTTTGAAAATGATGGGAGGCATCAAGCAATCGTTAATTAATTAATTAATTACTCTTATTAATCCGATTTCTTCTGCCACAGAAAGTATGAGACACTGTGTATATATGAAGTATGTTATATGGGGCATAAAGCATTTCATGCATTACATATTAAAATATAAAATAAATCAAATGATCTCAACAGAAGATCAAGCTCCAGTTTTCAAATCACGCAGCAACAGACAGTGCAGAGGTCAACGTAGGCAGAATAGAGTGTGACTATATTATGCTTTAGATCTATCTTCTCTACTGCTCTTCTTTACTTCACTGATCACATTTTCACACCAACGTTTGTCTTTCTTCACACGTGTGAAAACTTGTTGCATCAACAGATCTGTGAAGTAAAACTAGCACCTTCAACAAGTTGACCTGTCAACTGCAACAGAGAATGTGTGCAGAAGGTTTCAGAGCGGATGCTCCTTTAGCTTACATTAGCCAGAACCTGAGTAGTTAATTAATATGAATACAAATGTTTGCAGTACAAAGTAAAACATCATCTAAAAGTCACATTTGTTGTTTATGTTCCTCCCCTCATCATTCTCTCTTTCTGTTTCAGTTCTAGCAATTTCTTCAATTTTCAGAGGCCAAAATACATCTACTGTTGCTGCAGGTGAGGGGAGGGAAGGTACAGTGACGACGGACTTGATAACTGATTTATTGTGGATCAGGGTTGGTCGTGTCCGTCATGGACAGTTCTGTATTGCAGTGGTTCCCAAAGTGTTTTAAACTAGTAATGTCATCACGCTGATTGTGAGTGTGGGATCAGTTCAAGTGTTTTTATATATTAAACATACATATATATACATTAATATATACATTACATATTAAAGTGAGAAACACAAGTCTTAAGGCAGCCTTAGCTTGTCCTTGAGCAGGCAGCAACTTCTGGTTCTGAAATGTGAAGCCAGCATTAGCTTAGCTTGTACTTAGCTCCACCCCCTCACCAAGATGGCTACGGCCCAAAAAACATGATGGTGACAGCTGAAAACAAGGGTGGTGACGGGCCAAAACATCAAAACAGCAGTCCAGAAACCAATGGGTTCCCTTCTTATATAGAGTCTTGAACCACTTTAGGAACCACCATGTATTGTACTCTGCAGTCCTGAAATGTGAATGTCTTGTCAGGTAATATCTGGATGTGACTTCATGTGCTGTGTTAAGCATGTTGGGCTCTGTACTGTTTTTCTGTTGTCCCTTCACCCTCCGTCTCTGAGTCACAGCCATGGGGACAGGGCCCACCACATCCTGTATCGGTGTTGTGTGAGGGGAGGTGGTCTCGGAGCCACAAAGTGTGATTCTGTTTGCGTCTTTCACGTCTAATACAGAGCCTGAACTCACCCCTACCCCACCCCTGTTACAAGCTGAACGTCAGAATACGACTACCGGCACCACGCCGCCCTCCTCGTCTCCTCAGAATGATCCATCAGCCAATACAACAGATCTGCCTCCATCAGGCTCTACGGTAACAGCCAACCTGAGCCCGTCATCCTGTAGCATGTGACCACCCAACAACAACTCAATCAATCAAAGTGGAACCTGAAGTTATCTTCTCATTACTGAGGAGGTCGTACCACACTAGAGTTTATTTCATGCTGAAGACATTATTCAACCTTTATTCTCTGTCTTTCTCTGAGAAAAATAGACGAATACATAATGGTGACCAGTTGTTCTGATGGTTGATAATCACGTGGAACTAAAAGGAGACAATTGCTTTCTGGAACATTCGGAAATGAAACACAAAAAGTTATCCTTTCCTGAAAATGTTTGGGTAATACAGAGTGTTTAAATTGAGCTAAAATAACCCCAAACACTAGCACTGTCCTTAAAAAACACTGTAAACTACTAAGAAACAATACCACAGTGCTGGAAAGTAACTAAATACATTTACTCAAGTGCTGAACAATTTGTAGGTACAAGTACTTTAATTGAATATTACTATTTCGCTACTTTCCACGTCTACTCCACTACATCTCAGGAAACAGTTTAGTTACTTTGATTGAGATTAATGATACAGTATATTTAACAGATTAATTATGTTTTATTATAGATAAATATGATAAGACATTGTTGGTCGTTGGGGGGAAAATTCACAATCTACTCAGCAGATAATGTTTTATAAAGCAATTAAGATAAATCTTAACTGCACCACTAAAATACAATAAGATAATAAATATATATTATTCTGAAATGGGCCATTCTGCATGAGTGCTTTAAGTACATGTTGATGCTTTTACTAAACGTTGTACTGCAGTATTTCAACAGTGAGGTGTTGCTACTTTTACTTGAGTACATGGTAGTACTTCTTCCATCACTGCAATAGAACATCTCCACGGTTTAAATGCAACACATTAAAAGCTGAATTCACATGAATTCACCCCGTGCGTGGTCACTCACACAGTAGACGTCAGCTGGTCGGTTACGTGACGCTTTAACCGTCTTTTACAGACTCAAGAAGCAAAAACATCCAGTACGGACGTCATGGTTATGACGACAACAGCTGTTGTCAACTGCAGTGATGACGGTGATAAAGAATTGATGACGAAGGCCATACCAGGTACCCGACTGGTGCGGATGCAGAAGGCCTGCTGTGCCTCAGTGTGTCTTCCTGTGTGTCAAACCACAACCATCACATGCTCACACTCTCTGTTACTGCTAACCGCCACACAAACACTCACTCTGTCACATAACAGCCGGTATGTCACCCAGGTCTTTTTATTGTTTGGATAAAACAAGCTCTCTGAAGAGATCACTTTGGGCTCTGGGAATCTATTTACTTCTGTTTTCTGATATTTAACAGCTGAAATGATTAATGGATTAATCGAGAGGGGAAGAAAAGGTTTATGTCTGTATATTATATTTATTTATGTTCTCCACGAGGGGGCATGAACCTGTTTGGATTGAGTTACTGAACGTTAACCAGAAGTCTGTTTCTTTTAGTAAAAATTGAAGACGCGGGTCATTCATCCTTTAACTGGGGTAAGTTTATTGTACTGTTACCTTTTCTATTATTAATCAGGGTAAACCAGCCTCTATTCTATTCATCCTTCTGCCCCCTACTGATGCTCCTGCAACTACTATTAAACTGACTTATTATAATGTATATAATTACTTTTTAAGGTGTAAAACACTCAAAAAGGCCCAAACGTAATTAGATAAACTCTACAAGTGGCACAAAGACCCTCAAAGCTAATGAAACCGTCTCTGTCTGCAGGCTATGTGATCCTCGTATTGATCGTCTTGGCGATCATTATTCTGTGTGCCATCCTCTACTTCCTCAGGAGAGTCTCCAGGGTAAGACAACCACGTTTTTCATGACATCTCCTTTAAAATACACATTTTACATCCACTCGTTCAATGCTAAGCAGTTAGCGCTGACGTTGCGTTTATTTGTTCGTGTAGACGTACTCGTTCGACCTCCATCGTCCGGCTCCCGCCAACCATCTGAACGAACCCATCGGCACCTTTGAAACAGTCTACCTGGACGACCTGGGTGTGTTGATGTTTTTAAATGACTGTAACATGAGTGTGTATGAGCATGTCCTGACGCGTGTTCTTCGGGTTGTGTGTTGTATTTCAGAGCGACCATCTTCTAAAGACCAAGTGACCACCGGCGACCTTTCACCTCCTCCTGTATCCAACGGCACAACTCTGCCGTCGGAGGAACGGCGCTCCGATGGAGAGAGCGGTACATCAAATGCTATATTACAATATTTAACATTGTGAAGCCAATACCATTAAAAACTCTTTCGACAGCAAACCATGTGGTGAAAACCCAAACACGAGCTAAACTGTCATCCATCACAGGCTACATGAGTCTCTAGGTTATAGATATCAATGTGTAGTCCATGAAAATACCACCAGCAGTTCATATTATCACAGGAAACAGGAAACTATGGATCTAGCATGGATGCACCGAGCCCAGTTTGCCACAAGAGGAAATCAAACGTTTCTCGGATGCGTTTATGTTTTTCCCTCCATGACTCTCGAAAACTAAAGTCAAGTTAAAAGCCTCATCCTCACCACAAACACCTGTTCCTGTGTTAGTTTCCATGTTATCAACAACGCATCTTGCCTCTGATCAAATCTCTGTTTGTTCTTAATAGCTCTCCATTAAAAACTTAGACTTTTGTCACAGAGTCGAGGTAATGTAGATCGCAAGATGACATCAAGAAATAAGGTTCTCAGGTAGTAAATAGAACAGATGACAAAGGGAAGAAATAGAAGACGCCAATAATGGTGTTCTCTGGTATTATAAATATAAATATATATATTAAATATATATTAAATATATTAAATATTCTCTGGTGCACTCAGAAAACATTCCCGTCTTACCTTTCCTTCTCTCCTTCTGCTCGCTCCAGCTCCACAGGAACAGCCAGATGCAAACGGTACGGAGACGTCGCCCACCAGTAACACCAGTAACACCAGTAACTACAGTCCCTCGCTGAGCGACGGCCCGGTGGACAAGCCACCCAGCCCAATGAGCTGTATCAACATGTTCTTCGATGCTGTTGGGGAGGACCAGCAGAACGAGAACAACAACAACCCGTGTAAGATACTTAAAATACATACAAACACAAAATACCAATACAAAAACCAGCACACAGCAGTATTAGTAGGCCTAGAGTAGTATTTGTTTGAGTATACTGAACGTCATGTTCATGATTGGTGGATTGACCCTTAAAGGACAGGAGCCGGGCAGGTGTCATGGATATAATAACAATATGTGCACAAATGAACAAAATGTGGTTGTAAACCACCTTGTTAACGTTTAATATACGGTATGAGGTACGCCAAAGAGTATACTCAAAAACGTTTGCGCTGCATTCAATTTCAGTTTCTGCTGTTTTGTTTTTCACAGATTAGTAATTTGAATTGTTAATAGTTTGTTCACTCCCGCCTCTTGTTTGTAGTCTTATCGTGTTTCCTCGGCACAATGTGAGGAGGAGGAACCTGCTGGCTGCAAAATTGAAAAATAGCGAGAATTTTCTTTTACTTAAAACAGCTCTCAAACATTTTGCGTCTTATTAAATTGGGAACTAGCTTGGAGTTGTTAGACGGTACCTCTGATGGGTCTAGGCCAGCTAATTATAGTCTTCTTTTTGGTGCTAAGCTAAGCTAAATGAATCTATTAGCAGATATCAAACAGCTTTTAACTCCCAGCAAGAGAGAATAAAAGTGCATTTTGCTGAATATTTTGTGAAAATATATCTAAATCTAAAATGTCATGTACTTTTTTATCCCCTTCTCCTTTTCTTTAGCGGTTTGCTCCAGTGACCCGTTTGTTGAAATAAACCTTGATGAGACGGCGTTGTGCGATCAGCTCCTCATCTCTCCGGAAGCTTCTTCTTCTGTCCTCCCCTTCTCCTTCTCCTCCTCTTCCTCATCTTTGCACCTCCAATGACGACCCCACAGCTCAACATGGAGGTCACGACTGTGGCTGTAAAAAGGTCTTCAAGTGTTTCGGTCTTTTATTTGCCAGTGAAGAGCGTATAAATGTGAACCACCAAGCTGGAAACAGAAAGAGCTCGCTTACGCTTCATGTTCTGGGTTGTGTGGATGGATTCAGCACATCCTGATAATGGGTTTATATCTATAATGGAAGTTACTTTGGCACATAACTGTCAAACAAGAGTTAGCTCAGTTAACCTGAACTAACCACTAGCTAAGCCAATGAGTAGCCAGATGACTCAGCGATTTTAGCTGGTGCCTTCAGCAGTAACCTGTTGTTTTATTAACGCTGGCTCTTAAAAATGAATTAGGCTTTTTGTAATGGAGAGCTGTGGATTATTTGCTGTAAGCACTGTTTTCTCAAACTACAAACATATGTTGTTATCAAGCTATTAAACATCTTGTATTTCTACTGGCTGTGTCTGTTTCAATCAATACGCACTAAAGAGTCCACACTATACACACAGGGGGGGGTTCACCATTTTATAGGACTGTAAACTGTATTTTACCCAAATGGACTCAAAGTATCCCACAATGCAAAGTGAAAAGTAGTACAACCACGTATAATAAGACTGATACTGCGCCTCTTGTCAGCCTTGATCATGAGACCACCATTATGAAAGAGACATCTGCAAAACTGCAAATAAGGTACATTTGGACTCTTCCTATTTAGATGTTTTGATCCATGGAGGTTTTAAATCTATACATCTTCCCTTCAGCTAAGAAAAGCAATAAAACTATTTTTTTTTTCATAAATCAGTGAGGTCATCACAATATAAAGTTTTCGGGCCGAGCGGTACCTCGCAGGGTGGGGCCAGTGGTAAAACTATTTACGATGGATGATCCACCAGTCGACATTGATCTGGAATATTTTATATGTGAGACAGCAATGATGTAATTAAGGGTGCAGCAAATATCAATCGTTTTGGCGCCTAAGGCTAACGTTACTTTGAAAAACATGCTTAGTGAATCGACATTTTTAAAAAAATTTGTGTCCCTGTACACAAATCAATATTTCACAAACCGCAGTTAGACTGTCAACAGTTGTGTAGCAGCAAGATAAAGAAACAGGCAGACTGGAACAGTTCAGTGATTTAATGGTTCACGATAATAAACATTCTTACAGGAAACTGAATACTGAAGAGGCAGAGAATCCACCTGTTGATAGGAACGGGGCAGGTTCAGGCTCAGGTGGATCTGGCAAAGAGCAGGTGAAGCTGGGCTGGTATAAATACTGTGGGGGGTCTCTGCTCCATAGACTCTTGTGCAATGGTTTCAGATGATCTTCATTTTCAGGCTGGTTTATAGGATTTGGAGCTCGTCCTGGTTGTGTATTATTACGTTATGTAATTATTACAACATGCTCATTACCCGGGGAGATAAGTTTTTAAAACATTACGCTTCTACCTAAAAACCTGTGGAGCTAACGCTAGCAGAGTACGTTAGCACATAATTTACTAGCGTTAGCACGTCTATTCCTTGCTACCTACTGAAAGTGTACTGAATATATACACAATCTGCTTTTGCTTTTTAATAATTTTAGCAATGTTTAAAGACCTACTCAGCTTTCCAGGAACTGCATTGTTCGTTAATATCATTGTCTTATGTCTTGATCATCAGGTCATGTGGTGTTCACTTTTACACTGTGATCTGTAGCTTCCATCTTTATCTTTTTAACCTGTTTTCATCCGGGATATACTCTTCAAACACATATTGTAGACATTTTTGTCTGCTTCTCTCTAAAAGATTGCTTTTAAATTTTTTTAGGTACTGCAGTTAGTTACAGTGTGGGCTCCATGGTAATGTAGGGGGGGGGGCTTAGCCAAGGGTCAGTTTGGGAGAGAGTAACAGGTGGGTGTAGGAATCTGGTGGGAAAGTCTGATGCCATCTGGTGGCTGGATGGAAATTGGTGTGTTTGGAGAGTGAGTTCAGACGGGGACCAAAGGGGCAGTTTGAGCCAAACATAACATGTTGTGACATGCACAGACTTTGAACCAATCATAATTAATCCTAGATTCACCTTTTTTCCTCCCAAAGCAGTCTGAAGTCCACCAAGTATCGGAGAGACTCTCTTGGATATTAGCTTTCCCGAGTACAGCATTTGGAATCATGTTTTGTCCTCACAAGTTGCTCATGTGTGTCTACATATAGCTGTTACCAGTTTGATAAGCTGTAGTACGAGTTAGTTAGAAAAGGAACATAAATAGTGCAGTCAGCTTTTTATCCGCCAAGTCGACTGCATCTTCTCGCAGTTTGGACTCATCTTAAATCATGTGAGGCAGGGCGAGTACTCGCCATGCTGCCAAATGTCCGTTCACATCTGAGGCAGTTTGGGGATGTCACTTATTCAGCTCAATCAAGCAATAACCATTTCTGTCGAAGTTTCATGTTGGTCTGGATCTGTGTGATTGAAATGAGACAATCATGAAACACGAAGCTTTAGCAGACACAAATCAAAATACACACAAATATTCCACGAAAACAAAGAGGAAAAGTAGACAAACCTTGTTGTTGACCTCCTGATCTTACAGTTGAAATAACCAAACCAAATAGAAAGAAAAGGAATACGACTGCAACTCCTGCAACTCCCGAACCCAGTTCAACCATCCGATTGTAGTATTTATCTTGTCCTCTCTTTGGGCCTCCTGGTTGGGTCTTTGTTCCTGCAGGAAGACAGTACAGTAAAGACCACAACCATGAACACCAAGTCACACCATCTTAAGAAAATGAGAACTGGAGAGACTAGATTTTCCATTAGTTGTGAAGTCGTTCTTTGTGTTCATGAGTTCATTGTGGAAACATCATGGACGCTACACAGAAGGGGTTTTGTATTTCGTCGCTCGGAGCCATCAACATTTACTTTGGTCTGCCAAATTCGGAATCTAATTTTTCCAATTATTCCAACGCCACATGAATGTAACGAATGCCCTATCTCGTGATGAAGCCTTGTGAAGCTTTGGGGCTTTCTCTCTGTGTTACGGGAAAAAAGGAAGCGGTCAAGGCTTTACAGTAAACTCAGCAACAGTTCAGTGACATGTGATGGTTTGCAAAAAATGACATCAGCCGGACGTTATAACGCTGGTTTATATCGTTTGTATCTCATGAATGTGCAAAGAAAAGTCCAACAAGCAAAAGCATTATTTATCAAATCCGTGATACTCAGAAGTGCTGCAATAAATGCACATATTATTGTGCAATAAAATCCTGGATATTTAGAATATTTCTGTTGACATGAAACATGAATGTACCTTATTAGTGTAGTTTAGGCCGGCTGTGACCTCATGTGTCGTAACGTCATGGTCGATATTTATGTGACAATTTAAATGAGTTGTAATTTGATGTTTGGAGATTAATGTTCATTAAACTATTACTTTCATTATCTCATCACTTAATATCAGGAGGAAATGTTCCCATATTTCGCTTATAAATATTAGTTAAAGGATGCTGAAATGTCCGACTTTTAAACAAACTGTTTTTAATGTGAATCCACAGATCAAACTATTACCTGTAAGCTATTACTAATATTGCACTGTGGAAGTTTCTGTTTCATTAACCGCCCAAAAAGTTTACTAACCTGATTGTTATTGAGACGTTAATGGCCTTCCTGTTTTATTTTTGTTAATAATTCAGATGAATGTGTGGGTGAGAATGAGTAAATGGCCACAGAGGTGTAAGTGAGTCTTGACTTACCTTCACTAGTTTCCAGTCCGGACTTTGTTGTGGTTACATTCAGAACAAATGTTACTGTGGAGGAAATATATATTAGCATATCAATCAGTTTGCCATGAAAACAAATAGTGTTTCTTCCTTTTAACCAAAAAGCACTTTGTAAAATTGAAATTAGCGAGTAAGGCAAATTTCTGCTGAGTCACTTTACCTCTCGCCATGGTCTCGCCAAAAATTGTGGTTAAGTTACACCAATAATTTCCAGAGTCGTCCGTCCTGAGTCTGGCCATATGAAGTCTGAGTCGTCCTTCTCTGAGGACGTCTTTCTTACACTGGACTCGTCCTACAAACTGTCCATCCTGAGACCCTGAAACCTCGACACCGGCAAGCATACAATATAAAACCCTGTTTCTCTCTGACTGGAAAACACAAAGCAGGTTGGTGGAAGAAATGTTAGGTTTGATCTGACTGTCCCATTTTATTGTGATGTTTTTACTCTTCTCTCCCCGATAGAAGATTGAAGAACCCCCCTCCACATTCAACCCTGTAGAAGAGAAAGAGAGAGAGAGAGAGCCAGTAGAGAAGGCTTCATTTCAAGGTGCTTCACATCTACCATAAAATACAAAACATAAAATAAATAAATCACAAGGAATGGTCAAATTGGGAAAGTGAGACACAGTTTACATTAATAAATATTGAGAGATTAACCCCGCAAAGAAAGTTTAAATAAAACAAAATATAATTTACCACTGGCACAAGAGATCAGCACAACCCAGTAGATCATCTCCCTGAGAGGAGACATAGTTTTCAGATTGGTGGGTCACTTTTATCCCAAATTTACAAATTTAACCTCATTACAAGTCTGGTTTTCTGTCAAGGCTTTAAATGTATGCTGATGATTCAAATATATTTACATTGGTTGTGATAAAAAACGCTGTAAGTCATTATAGTGAGAAACGTTCTTGAAATAATTACGCAGCATCTCAAAATATGGAGAAACCTTCTCAGCGTTCTGACCCGATTGTCGTTATTTGGAGATACTAGGTGTGACGTCCCGTGAGGTTTGGGGGTGTTAAGTGCATGACACGAAAATAAAGTAATTTTTATGATTCTTTTGTCATTTCTGTGACTTACAAGATATTAATTTGCATCACATTGCAGAACTGGGCCTCCACAATGATCAAATATTTAGATTTCATGTCCGTGTGTTAAGTATGGAGCTTAAGTTGGAGTGTAGCTTAGCTTAGCATAAAGACTGGGAAATGCTAGCCTGGCTCTGTCAAAAGCTGTGCTGCCAAAGTCTTGTCTGATTGTTTTGTCAGTATGAAACTCTACCAGCCTGTAAATGACACATGTGACTATAATCCTTCAGTCAGCTGACATTTTCCCCCACAAAAAAAGAAATGAAACTTTTGTCCATTTACTTCCTTTTAAAATTATTTAACCAGGTGAGTCCCATTGAGATTAAAAATCTCTTTTTCAAGGGAGACCTGGCCAAGACAGGCAGCAACACATAGTTACAGAGAGAAAACACAGAACAAGACAAGTTAAAAGTTAAGAGACAGTGACTAACATTATTATAATCTTGCGTGATGTTAAAATGCTTCTCAAACCCCCAGAAAAGAGTCTACATTTAATCCATCAATTAAAAAATAACTGCTTTGACTGAGTCTCTTTCCAAGCAACTAAAACTACTAAATATCGGGGATTAAAGTAAAAAAAAATACACTGGGACCAAAAAAAAGGTTTAGTCTCTACTTTCTCTCTGAGGTCTGCGGCCCATCCAGAGAAACAGTTGGTGAACTTTCATATATTTATTTGTAATGCTGTGAGCACAAAACCACAGTCACAGTTCTGCATGAATATATAGTGATAGCAGAGAACCCGTACAAGTCTTTGATAGAAAGCACAATATGAGAAACGTCTGATGACAATTCATTGGAATAACTTGTTGGAGAAACATTTCACCCCACAATGAATTATTATGGTCCATAATAAAGTAAAAATGGTTTATATTTAATCATTTGTAGATTGTATATCTCCATATACCTAACAAAGGTTGTAGCTTAGTTGTTTATAAAGAGTTTACTAAGAATGCAACACATTGAATAATCTGACTTTTCACTTAAAATAAACAATATCCTTTTCTGTGTTGATCATAAAATGTCAACGTTCTATTATCACATTACGTCAGCAGCAACAATGAACACCAGCGCTGTAAACAAACTTTGGTTTGAAAAATGTGCACTTACATTTAGAAAGAAGGATGAAGTCAAAGTCGATGAATATCAGTCTAAATGTTTTCTGTCCTCTCGTCTCTTAAGTACACTGGAGGAGGAGTTTAGCAGAGAAATTCAGAATAAGGAAGGACAGAAGAGACTGTCACCTGACCCCAGTCAATGGCCCAAACCCAATGTTCCCCTTGCGGACTCACGGACTTGATATTTGATTTTGTCATTGAAGCTGTTTTGACAAAAATGAGTAAATAGATGATATGAAGTTACCTCATCTTGTGAGGAAAGAGCCTGAAGACGTTCACATCAGGGAGTACAAAGTATAAAATAAATACACACAATTATACATCATATTTATTGTTGTTTTCATGGTAACGTGATATGTTGCAGCAAAGTGCTGTCCCATTCCTATTCATACCATCTCAAGGCCTCACAGTCTCTCACACTCAACCACTCACCAGGTGACGTCAGTAAGTCCTTGAGGGTTCAGGGTTTGAGGCTTTAGGGGGGACATTGGGACTGGGCCAATGTGGACTAAACGTTGGACCTCTTTCTATTTCTTTGACACTAAATGACCACATCTTTCAAATTTCAGGTTTCCCCCCTTAAACTCAACTACCACCAAAACATCACACATTTACATGCGATTGAAAAAACTATATGTTCAAAACATAACATTGCTTTAAATTAGGTTTTGGGGAAAAAGACAATACATGGACACCAAGTATTGATCTTACAATATAAGCTATTAATACTGCAAATACAATTTAAACCCTTTGGTAAGAACACAAACACGACTGAGTGATGGTCAGTTCATCTGCTTGACTTACGGTGGAATGGGGAGAATGTCTCGGGTGACAAGAACACACGGAAAGATATGGAAAGATACGGAAAGATACGGAAAGCTAGACGCTTGAGCGCAGGAACAAAGATCTGGTGAGGAGAGGGAGGAGAGCCGGGGTTGATAAACTGTGAGGTGATGAGCTGATTGAAGGCAGGTGCGCTGGTGGGTAGGGCCCACGTGGGTGGCAAGACGGGAACGAGACACACACACACACTCAAAACGTACACAGAGGGGCGAAGCGGGGACCCTGAAGACACGAGGACAAGTGGGGACACAAAGGAAACATTAAGGAGAGCGAGACGTTAGATGCACGTTTCCTGCTTTTGGAACAAACTTCCCTCGCCTCTCTGCCAGTAAATGTTTTTTGTCATGTGTTTGAAGCGGAAAATGTCTTGATGACATCTGAACCATGTGGTAAGTCACATGTATATTAGCTGTACTGAGATTGGTATTGAGTGTGTTATATGTTTGCAGATCAGCTCTGCAGAGATTTATTTTTAATTTTAGCTTCAATAGTCTCCAGTCTCCCTGAGGTCCACACAAAAACAATAAGAAAATACTTAAAATCAAACAGTGTCAACAACATGAAAATAAAACAAGAAAAGACAGAAGTAGCAAAATGTAAAGATCAGAAAATAAGTAAAATCGTCCTGTATATGGAACAATAATGGCCGACAGTTAAAACAAATGCAAAACTGTCAAAAACAAAACAACTAAAATAATAGTAAAAACAATCACAAAAAAAGAAAATCCTAAACAACACTAACTAGAATGACATCCACATGACATTCAGGAACATTTGTTTTAGTAACTTTTTGAAAGAAGGCCGATCTACTTCTGGTCCGTCTCATGTAGCGGACAAGGCCAATAGTAATAACAACAGATATCACTGCAGTTTCTCAATTAATTAGGATGTCTGTTAACAACGGTAATGTCTCTACTGTACGCAACAGTGATGCGATGCATCTATTACCTCAACAACAGATTAAACTGTAAAAGTCGCTGACTGCTTTGAGTTTGTGACGTTATTGTACAACTCTAGTTTTAGTTTTGAAGTGAACTGAGTTCTTCCTGTCTGAACACACAGAACATCTCCACTGTTAAAAACAAACGGGTTCAAATATCCGGCTGTATTCTAATGAGCCGTTAGTGACACCTAGTGGAGAAGAAAGGTAACAACATGGTGACTCCTTTGTAGAGTTTAGACACTTATAATTAGATGAAATAAAATCAAATGCTTTCATCAGATTGAATGTGTTTGTAGAATGTGATTAGAACTTATTCATGAACTTAAAGTCATTTATTTCTTAATTCTTAAAGAACAAATCGTCGAGTAGAGATGCAACAAGTTCATTTAAGTTACCTTTTACAACAGAATCAGATCATAAAAAATATGAAGAATGTATTACATATATTGCAAACAAGGCCTCAAGGATTAAATAATGCACAAAATAATTGACAGACACAATTAAAATACAGATGTTTTTTGCAACAACAGAAAATATGTAATACCTGCAAAACTAATGAGCTTCAGCTGCTAATTAGCTCATATTAGCATGCTAACACGCTAAATAAAGATGGTAAACATGGTGTACATTATGGATCTCCCTCTGTGTGTGTTGTAAACAGAGCTTCTCCTGGCTTTGTAGATAAAGTGACATTTAGTGGATGCGATTGTGCCCCTCTTGCTAGCTCACCATGGTGACGGCTCAGCCGGGGCCATGTTGAGAGCCACTGAGAGGCAATAGCAATGCTCCGGATTTGGCGTTGATCCCCTTTTAGTAAAAGTACTATAATGTAGAAATACTTTTACAAGTTAAAGTAATGAATTCAAAATCTTACTCGAGTTAAAATACTAAAGTATAAAAAATGACATAAATCTAAATTCACTTGAAGTAGCAGAAGTAAACGGACTCATTATGCAGACTAACTAACTCACTAATGTTGCAGCTGGTAAAATTAGAGTAATATCACAACTTGATATGCTGCTGTGCAGTTAAAGTCATAACAATGCAGAATATTTTCAGTCGATGGCGTTTTGAGCCATTTTCAACCATGAAATGTTGACTCAGCTACATTCCACCACTGCCCATGGACTTCATCACTACAGGACTACAGACAAACCTGGTCTGTTCCCTGCTCGTTCTCCATCGTCTCTCATCTTTAGGACGCTATAGCTTTTGCTTTTACTACCAGATGGCGTCTAAGTGAAAACAACAATCCATATATTTCTTTAGTCCACAATACTAACGGACTCAAGACTAAGTTTTGGTCACTTCACAGAAGTGTGGACACATAAAGTCCGAGTCGTCTTTAACGGTGGCATTAACAGAAGCTCGCAGAGGATTTAATTAATTTAGTCCTTTCAGCAGAGAGGGTGACTCATTGAATCTTGTTGTTGAAGGAGATAGTGATAGAAACGACAATAAACCAGCAGAATTCCTTCTATCAGTCCCACTACACAGTAGAGGCCGATCCATCTCCGTCTCTCTGCTTGTGATGGACTTCCTGTCGTTGAAGGATCTCTCTCAGGTTTGGGCCGATCCCTCTCTGCTGTAAAGAGACCAAACAAGTCTGAGTCATTGATGAGAAGAAACAACATCTCACTACAACATGAACTAAACGTCCTCAACAGATTAAACTGGAACATATTTCACAGATCCTGTAAGAAGGAAGTGTATCGACAATAATCAGGTTCTTTTTAGTCCAGGAAACTTCTGCTGGATCAACTCACCTGTGACGTTGAGGTGACATCTCTTTGATCTCTCATCATGACCTGTGAACACATCACACTGGTAAACACCTGAGTCAGCAGTCCTGAGTCTGGACATGTGGAGTCTGAGTCGTCCTTCTCTGAGGACATCTTTGTCAAACTGGACTCGTCCTGCAAACCGTTCATGCCGAGACTCTGGAACCTCGACACCTTCATGAAGATGAAACACGATGAAGAATGTGACATCAGTTAACATCTCACAGATGATATTAAAGGACTTGAGGGAACCGTCTGTTCTGGTGGTGAAGGTCCATTCCAGAGTGATGTCGTGGTTCTCCACTGCCTGATAGGAGCTCTGTGTCACATTCACTACTAATGGTGCTGTTGAGGAGACAGAGAGGGAGAGTGAGGAGCAGACAAACTGACAACGTTAACATGAGAGCCTTTAAACTCCACCTGGAGATGTTTACTGATGCTGAGCTTTAGAGACACAAAGGTATGAACAAGGTGCATGATTGTAACAATAACTAGAGTCATGTTGAAGTGTGCTAGGCCATGTCCACATTACTCCGTTTTTACTCCGTATTTGCTACGTTTACACTGAGCGGCCACACTACGCCGGAGTTTTGGAGCACCCTAAACAGAGGAGTCTGAAAACTCCCCCGAGGTTGGAGGTATTTGAAAACTCCGGGGTTGCGTTTGCGTGTGGACGGTCGGATGTGTGTTAGAAAATATGAGCCCACACCCGTGTTCGCTACTGGATTGGTTATTAGCAGCCATGACGTCTCCGTCCCTGATTCGTCACACTCACTATCACGTGACCCGTACCTGGAAGAAAACAAACAGCCAGGGCGACCAGTAATTCATTTCAACATGGATAACTAATTTCAAGCGTTGCTGCTAGCACAACAGCTAGCAGCTGTTGTGCAGTAAAGTCTGCATTTCTGTGGAGGAAGCAGCTGTTGGACCGATTAGCGAGCGCCGTGACCAGCGGCGTCATCAGCCCAGCGGCCAAGCCAGTTAGCCGTAAATGCTATTCAGAGCTACGAGTTACAACAACAACAGTTAGTGCCTCGTTGTTTTTAGATTCTAATGAGAAGACACGCTGCTTCGTTTTACTTCTTCCGTTTGGTAGCCTTGAGAGACCTTAGTCTGTAAGTATGTCTGTATGAAGCATGAAAAGATGTACGAAGATATATTATTCGCTGACTGAATGTGGACCAAACGTCAGCAGATGTTTTATTCTTTACATGTGATGGTTGTGATAATTACATCTGTCAGACCTACAGTGAAATCCATGTCTGTGTGTTTCTGGTTCATAGACTCTAACCTGCTGGTTGATCTTTTAAATGTGTTCTAGTTTGAGAGGGACTGAGCCAGTAATCCCGTCTAGACAGAAAACTAATACATGAGAATTATATCTGAATAATATGGAAGTTAAACCATAAATACATGATTATTAAATAGTCTACTGTCATACAGGAGAACAGACATCAAGTAAACTGTGAGTGGTCTGGTGATATTTGGTGCACATCGGTGTAGTAGCTGACCACGGTTATGTGCCGATAACACTGAAGCCTCACAAACCTCAAGAACTGAGTTTGATTCCTGCACTCAACATTCTGCCAATGTCAGCATGTCAGCGTGTCAGATAGGGGAACTTTAAATGAAATAAACTGAAGTGATTCCTCTCATGGTGTCAGTTTAAATTAATTTCCTATTTTTTGATTTTCATGAGAACCTGTCTCCAGGTCTGACAGTTTTCTATATTTCCTGTTCATTGTATTTGTTCAAAATGAATAAATAAAAATAAGATGAAACATGATGATTCTGTCTGTCCATTAATATCCTCATGATTCTCACTAATATACATTATGACTATGAAAATAATGAAAGATCAGCACATTGTTTGAAAGTTCCTTTGGACTCAGAGAGTTATAATCCTGACGATGGATGAAAGACGGTGAGTAACAGACAGGATTAAACACAGTGAGCTTAAACTACAGTTTTGTTTTCTAAAACAACCAGCGGCGTTGTTACGTTCCCCTTTTTGACATCTAAGGGATGTGGGGAGTAACTGTTAATTTTCCCGGGGAAAGAGAGAGTGAGTTCTGAAGAGGCTTTAATAAAGGATGGTTTATTGGATAAATAGCTAGTAGCTCGCACGGCAGCAAAAGAAAACTACCCTCTGACAAACACAGGGCGACACAAAGTGATAAATACAATGGCGACACCAGCCCACACGGCTGTACCCGGAGTGATCCACAGCACACTCCTCTCAGCGTCTCAGCTGCAGGTTCGGCCCAAGGGTTGTCAGCTCCACACCGACTCACCCGCACAGCCTCACGACTGGTCTGCCCAAGAGGTTGTCCTTCAGGAGCTCCTCTCCTCTTATCCACCGCTAATCGCGATTGTCCGCAGCCGCATCCAATCAGCCGCTGCAGCTTGCATCCGGACAGAGGGTGGCACCCGAGAAGACACTGAGGGAAAACAGAGGGAGAGCACACACACAACACGGCACGTAACAGGCGTCCTCAAAGAACAAAAGCCGAAAAACCATAAATGACAATTTACATATAATAATAGAGCTACATGAACCACTACCGTCATGCAGTAACGTTCTCGTCAAAGTGGACAGTTTATTAATGTACTTTGTGTACTCTTTAGTGGTAGAATGTAACTACTCATTTATTGTACAAATTTTGAAGTACTTGTACTTTAAGTATTTCCCGTTTAAATAACTTTATAGTTCTACTCCACTACCTTTCAGGGGAACTATTGTGTTACTAAGTATTAATAAGTAAGGTTTTGAGTACATGGATTTTACTTTCTTTTTTCTACAGAATGGTATTAGTACTTTTAATGAAGTAAAAGGATCTAAATACTTCCACCAGTGTTACTTTTCGCTGATTAAATACTCGTATAGATAATAAGATAAGAATCAATATGACGGCTCAGTGGTGGTCTGTGTGAGTTCAGAACCACGGACAGAGACAGCGGTTACTGTATCACTCTACACGCGCTATTTATACGACTGTTCTTCATGAGTCGTCTCCTCGTGAACAGATCCACTCAGTTCAACCACAAGAGGGCGCAGCAGGCTTTCACACAGACCTACAGCTAAACACCCAACACTGTTTACCTTCCATCCCAATCTATCAGCGTCAACGCAGCGGCTCCTTTTATTTGTTGATTTTTAGCATCATGATTGTAGAAAACCTTTTTCACTTCTTTTAAACATGTTTGTGGACAAACTGTCCTGCAGCAGATTTCCTGGTGAAAGCGTTCTGTGTCCACTAGCCTTATCAATAAATAATAATTTTCAGTTTGTCACTTAATTTCAATAAACCTCATGAACCACCAAATCCAATGCTGAATTGAGTCCTATACATATTGACTTGGAGCAAGCTTTTGATTTTGTCCTCATAGACGTCTAATCTACAAGAATGTGAGAAGTTCTTTAAGCAGTAACGGTCTCTACTGCAGTGCTGCTGGAGGTTGTGTCAAAGTAAATCCACTTGTTGGTTTAAACCTCAACATTGTGTCCAACAATACGTTTTGTCTCCCACTTTGTATATTTATTTCTTGATTTACCGGGACAGTGCACATTAATCAACACTTCAGTCTCCACCTCAATGTGCCACATTCTCTTATTTCAAGTAACATGTTGGCTGAATTAAACAATTCAATACATATCAGAAAGCTTTTGAAAAATGTGACTCTTAAAATAAAGTACTTCATTTTAGAAGAATGAATTGAACTGAATTGTCTTTGTCCTGCAGCTTTACATTGTGAGGTGTGAAGTAGTCAATCAAAAAAGCCACGATGTCCACATTATGCTCATCTTCTAATAAGGGACCTTATGTGTGGTTATTAAACAGATTGTTTCAGCTCTATTCTCTCTGTTGACGTCATTGTTGGTCAGTGAATTCATGTGTTAGGATTCTGATCATTTTGGGCTCTTAGATCGTTTATTTTTTGTACCTTCATTTCAGATTTCAGTGTGTGCTTTGTCTCGTAGAGACGCTTCACATTACCGCTTCTAAACTCACTCCGTGGTCTCTGAACGTATGAGACGTACTGGTTTTGAACTGCCTGTAGGAAGAATGAAGATATACGAGTCTGTACATTCCTGGTTAAAGAGTCTGGTCTCTCTGGTGTCTCAGGTCTCTCTGGTGTCTCTGGTCTCTCTGGTGTCTCTGGTGTCTCTGGTCTCTCTGGTCTCTCAGGTCTCTCTGGTCTCTCTGGTGTCTCAGGTCTCTCTGGTCACATTTCTCTTCTTAGAGAACATCATGTGAAATAACTTCTCTGACTCACGTACTTCTCTGACTGTTGGGTCTCTCGTCTCCCGTGTGTCTGTAAATGTCACTGGAGTTGAGGCGTTTATAGGAATACACACACATATGATTTACAACACATGTAATCCGTCTGTCTGTTTCCTGGACAGCTGATCGAGTACCGTACAGGCTGGAGAAGCTGTGCCGGTAAAATTAGAAGCGCTCTGTTCGAATTTCTTTATGATCAACTATCGGTTTTAGGTCCGGGTCCACATACAACGGCGTTTGGGTCCGGAACCGCCTATTGGTGACCCCTGGTGTAGATGTTTAACGTTCTGCTAATTCAACCTCTTTACACTGTTGGGTAGTTTAACATTACAGCATGAACACTGAACAAATCATCAATCTCAAGAACAAATGTCATAATGACATTACGAAATACAAAAGGGTTGTTGGAGGATTCATCTGACTGGATATCATCAGATTAGAGGTCTTCAGGGACAACATCTCAAGCTTTCGTTAAGTCGATATTTATTGGAATCTATTCGTTGTTGGATTTGGTGTTTTCATGGGATTCATTGGTTGGTAGAGACATTTAGAAAAGAGGTTCGTGAGCACAGAATGCTGACACCATGACGTCTGCTGCAGGACTGTTGTTTCACCAGTTGTGTCAAAAAGAAACGAGTCTGGAAGAAGTTGAACAAGATTTCTACACTCGTACTGCTGAACGTGAACAAATGAAAGGAGACGCTGGAGGATGAATGCTGAAGCGTTTACTGCAGTAAAGTTCAGAGCGTGTGTTTACAGGTTATCATGAACCAGACTGGTCCTCCTGCAGCTCAGCTGATCAGATGATTGAACATGTGAAAGCAAACATCAGCTGGTGATGATCAAGTTTTCATCGTGCACACAAAGTCTCTCTTCTCCTGGCAGCTTGCATCGTTCCACATTCCCCATTCTGGAAAGAAAGAAAAGGTAGATTATATATCCACATGTCCTGCTTTGAGCGGACAGATCATGGACCTCATGCAGGAGTATTTTAGTCTTAAAGTGCTCGTTTCAACTTGATGAAGGTCACATGATCCGGAGTAGATTCACGTTCATGATAGTAAAAAGTTCACATCATGGAAATCAGCAGAAACATAACAGATGTCGTGTCAGAAGTGTTTGAGTTTATGAAATATAAATATTACTGTCAGGTTCACATCATTGCAGTTCTGTGACTCAACAGTGAAGTTGATGAATGCTCCGTAGAGCTGAAGGGAACCGTGGAGTTAGGTAATAATTGGCATTGGCAGAGAAGATTTGCCAAATTTTTCATGGCCGCAACCCACATGCTCAGCTCTGCTGCTCATCCCATAAATGCATGTTCCTTATGAATGTGGCCCCATTTAAAAGGGAAATAAACCAGCTTTCCAACGGTATGAGACTTATTGCCAAGAAGCATTGTTACAATAAAGAAATAATCTACCAAACACTAATGTCCTTACTTTGTGTCCTATGTTTACTTGAGCCCAGACGTGAAGAAATGATGTACGTGGGTGAAAACATTTGACTTTAAATGAGTCACAAGGAGAGACTTCTGCTTTTTTAAAAGATAAAAAATACAACTTGTTCCAAACCAGCTCACTGACGCCCCCAAAAACAAATGATGGTTTCATCATCTGCTCCAGAACATAAATGATTTGAGACACTTTTACAACTGAAAGGTGCTTATGATTTAGTTATGGCTCACCAGCACAAACACTGATGGTTTGAATGTTTATGATGAAGTGGATCTATATGAATAACGTGTAATATGAAGTGAAAGTAAAGCCTTATGCTTCCTGCCAAGTCAAAACGTTTGCGTGGAACGCAGCGTTTAAGCCTC